GCAGAAGGAGGAGCCGGAGGCCATACTCGCTTGACCCCTTGGGACACAGGTTCGTGTAGGGATCCCAGAACCTGAAGATAGGACGTGTAGAGAACAGCACCAACCCTGGTATATATCGTTAGCGCTTTCAAATCACCTAGGGATTTATTTTCGGGAGTATCTCACCCTGCATTTGCCATCAAGGGTGGAAGCACTTGATTCGGGATGAACCGCCAGCCATATGTCCGAACGGCGTGGAGCAATAATCCCGGGGTCGTCGTATGCAGAGACCATTTGCCTTCGGCGACACGGGGGTTCACAGCTCTTGCAAATGCCTGTTTGAAATGATAAGTAACGAAGGCTGGCGATGAGTTGGTGTTTCTCATCTATTGTAGATGGTGGGAGGGTTTACCATATAACTAGGTGAAATATTGTCAATTCAAAGATCATTAGGTCCACAGATACTACATACTCGACACGCATACGAAAGAAAGCTTTGATCGGTGCTCTGAAATAGAAGGCCACCATCTGTGCACTGAGAGCGCGAACGCCTGCGGCAGATGCTCCGGTAGCTGCATCGTTGCGAGAAATCCTTCGCGAACTTCCTGGAAGTTCACCGAGATGGGGCTCGAGAAGGATGGGAGCTATCGGAGACTTCATTGCTTACGGACAACAAAAGGTCCACAGTGTACATCGTATGAAAGAGTGCTTGTGGGGTCTCAAAGAGAGACAGGCTCAATGTCGATAGTGAATTCCAAAGCGCAGGTGATGTAGGCGGGAAAAGAGGGCAGCATCACAGGGTGTGATTGTTATCCAATCAGATGACCAAGTGAAGGCTCACATATATCATGTTAACTTGAAAATTGGAAATAGAAAGAAAGTGAAGAGAGATATTCACAAAACATGTTCGGGTTCAACAAGAGAAGAGAGAGATGAAAATAGCGCTAGTACGAAAGTGGTAATACTTTGATACGGTAATCGAGAGAGACCCGGAATGCAAGAACGCGCTTTTCGCGTTCGCCTTCCCCTAAGCGTCCCTTTCTATCTTTGTCTTCTCTTCCACAACCCAGCTCTATCGGTGCCTTGTCTCTCATCATCGCAGCGATCGCATTGATGCTGCCTTCATTTTCCATCTACCTTCTTCTTCATCCTCAACAAATTTAACACTCGGATATACCTACAATAGCTCCTGCGCTTCTCCACCGAGCTTTCTTGCCATCAACTTAGTCTCTGACTGCGGCATACCTTGCTCGCATCAGGCCATCGCCATGGCTGAGGAGATCGCCATTGACAATAACAACTTTTTCAACCGCCTCTCTAGTTTCTATGCGTCATGGAAGGCGGACAAGCGCTCGGGCAATGCCCTCTTTGGCAATGCAGGGTCCATGGTCATTCTGATGGGGAAGACCGATGAGGAGAACTCATTCCAGAAGAATAATGCGATGCATGTATGTGAATCATCTTCAGAAGTCCTATCCTTGTCCCATAGAAGCCCATCGGCTTCATGACATCGTTACTAATTGAACTTGTGCTTAGTTCTGGCTTCTCGGGTATGAATTCCCAGCGACATTGTTTGTTCTCACGACTGAGGCGATTTACGTGGTCACCACGGCCAAAAAAGGTGATCATCAAGGCATGGAGTTTTGCGGACCACATAGCTGATTAAATCAAATTCAAAGCGAAACACCTCGAGCCGCTGAAAGAAGGAAAGATTCCCGTCGAGATTCTGGTCACTACCAAAGACCCAGAATCAAAGACCAAAGCATTTGAGAAATGCTTGGATGTTATCAAGGGCGCAGGGGTGAGCTAAAATGACCTTTGAATCACCGGTTTGATTTGCCTCACACTAACCACGACAACCGCAGAACAAAGTCGGTACTTTGCCCAAAAACACAGCTTCGGGACCCTTCGCAGATGAATGGAAACGCGCATTTGCGGAAATATCGAAAGAAGTGGAGGAAGTTGACATAGCACCTGCACTCTCAGCTGCTTTTGCGATCAAAGATTCTGATGAATTGGTTGGTTTATCTATGAGAGCGCGGTTAACAAGTGGTGTTTGCTAATACAGTCTCAAAGGTCTCAATCCGCAATGCTTCCAGAGCTTGCAGTGGCCTTATGTCAGAGTACTTCGTCGATGAGATGTCACGTTTACTCGACGAAGAAAAGAAGATGACCCATAAGGCCCTCGCCGCAAAGGTTGATGCAAAGATTGATGATGGGAAATTTTTCAACAAGCTGGCGCGGCTGCCATCAGAATTTGATTCTCAGCAAATCGACTGGGCCTACGGGCCTGTAATTCAAAGTGGAGGCGCCTACGATCTCAAGCTCACAGCGATTCCCGACAGTAAAAACCTCGAACCCGGCATCATTTTGTCCAGCTTTGGAATCAGATACAAGACTTACAGTTCCCTCATTGGGCGTACTTATCTGGTGGACCCGACCAAATCACAAGAAGCAAACTATGCCCTACTACTGAGCCTCCATGAAGCAACCATGAAAGAGGTTCGGGATGGTGTGGCCGCTAAGGATGTGTACAACAAGGCACTGAGCCTCGTCCGTTCTAAGAAGCCTGAGCTGGAGGGACACTTTGTCAAGAACGTTGGCGCAGGGATTGGAATCGAGCTCCGGGATGCCAATATGGTCCTCAATGCCAAGAACAACCGCGTCTTGAAAAACGGCATGACGCTGTCTATCACGATCGGGCTGACTGATGTAAAGGATCCAGACTCGAAGAATGCCAAGAATGGTGGCTATTCTATGGTCATCACCGATACAGTTCGTGTTGGGGAAAGTGGGCCTCACATTTTCACCAAAGACGCCGGTATTGACATGGACTCGATCTCGTTCTATTTCGGGGATGAGGAGGAGCCCGAAAAGCCTGTGAAGGAGAAAAAGGAGACGAAGTCTAGCGCCACTGCTGGCAGAAACGTCACAAGAACCAAACTTCGTGCTGAAAGACCCACTCAGGTCAATGAGGGAGCTGAAGCCCGTCGTCGAGAGCATCAGAAAGAGCTGGCTTTGAAGAAGACAAAGGAAGGCTTGGATCGGTTCACCGGCACTACGGGAGACGACAATGGGGTGGCACAAAAGAAGTTCAAGCGCTTTGAGTCTTACAAGCGAGACAACCAACTCCCTGCCAAGGTCAAAGACCTTACAGTTTATGTCGACCTGAAGACTTCAACTGTGATTGTACCTATCATGGGCCGACCAGTTCCCTTTCATATCAACACCATAAAGAACGCCAGCAAAAGCGACGAAGGAGAATACGCCTACCTACGAATCAACTTCCTGTCTCCAGGTCAGGGTGTGGGCCGAAAGGATGACCAGCCCTTTGAGGACTTGTCGGCTCATTTCGTTCGCAACCTCACTCTGCGGTCCAAGGATAACGACCGGCTAGCACGAGTCGCCCAGGATATCACCGAACTTCGCAAGACAGCCTTGAGACGAGAGCAGGAGAAGAAAGAATTGGAAGATGTTGTTGAGCAGGATAAACTGGTTGAAATTAGAAACCGACGTCCAGTGAAACTCCCCGACGTCTACCTCCGGCCTCCTTTGGATGGAAAGCGTGTTCCGGGAGAAGTCGAGATTCATCAGAATGGTCTTCGGTACCTATCGCCCTTCCGCAATGAGCATGTTGACGTACTCTTCAGCAATGTGAAGCATCTGTTCTTCCAACCATGTGCCCATGAATTGATCGTTCTCATCCATGTGCATCTCAAGACGCCTATCATGATCGGAAAGCGAAAGACAAAGGATATTCAATTCTATCGTGAGGCCACGGAAATGCAATTTGATGAAACTGGGAACCGTCGGCGCAAACACCGCTACGGAGATGAGGAAGAATTTGAGGCTGAACAGGAGGAAAGACGGCGGAGAGCTGCGTTGGACCGCGAGTTCAAGGCCTTTGCCGAGAAGGTTGCGGACGCTGGCAAGGACGAGGGTGTCGATGTCGATATCCCATTCAGGGAAATTGGCTTTACCGGCGTTCCAAATCGGTCCAATGTCTTGATTCAACCGACCACAGATGCCCTAGTTCAGCTCACTGAACCTCCTTTCACGACCGTCACGTTGAATGAAATCGAGATTGCCCATCTGGAGAGAGTTCAGGTAATGTTTTCCGCTTATTACTATGTTATGGGCCTGGTTTACTAATTCGCGCGCAGTTTGGACTCAAAAACTTCGACATGGTCTTTGTTTTCAAGGATTTCCGCCGGACTCCCGTTCATATCAACACGATTCCTGTCGAGGCACTTGAGGGTGTTAAGGACTGGCTTGATTCTGTTGATATTGCGTTCACCGAGGGTCCACTCAACCTGAATTGGACCACGATCATGAAAACAGTCGTCAGCGATCCGTATGGCTTCTTTGCTGATGGTGGGTGGTCTTTCTTATCGGCCGAGTCCGACTCTGAGAACGGTTCCGATGAGGAAGAGGAGTCCGCTTTCGAGTTGTCCGATTCGGAGCTTGCAGCTGGAGACGAGAGTTCTGAGGAAGACAGCGAATTTGATGATGACGCGAGTGCCGATGCTAGCGAGGAAGACTTCAGCGGCGACGATGAGAGTGGTGAGGACTGGGACGCGCTTGAGGAAAAGGCGAAACGTAAGGACAAGGAGACCGACCACGAAGACAATGACCGCGGGATCAAACGCAAGCGCTAATCCACCTTTCTGTTGCCGCTGGGGACATCAAATGGCTTTTTCTTACCTCCTTTCTTGCATTTTGTGTTTCAATCTATGGGCAAGTTAAGTTGGGCTACCTACGCCTTGCATCTCTTGATTGGCCTTCCAAGTGCTTGTACAATCTCACTGGGACCCACGGTGGATGGGAAATCAGAACAAGACACATTTCTGGAGTTAATCGGGAGGAAACTAGTCTTTTAACGTCTCTTAACTGTACTGTATCCAAATATTCATGCATGATATTCGTTCAACACGTCTTGAGACAGATAGTATTTCTAAATCGCAGCAACCAACTAGCATAGCCGGCTAGCCTGATTCTAACCTTGCGTCTCCTGCGGGTACCTATCGCTTCAAATGGACTCCATACAGAGCCTGTATTGGACTCGTTGCCAGTCACTGTCGCGCTATTTCCCTTCACGCATGGATATCCACATACTCCGCATGCGCTCTCCTTGTCCGGGTGTGAAGTTCTCATAGCATACATCAGATGAATAATCCATGAAGTCGTGGACGGCGTCCAGTCCGGGGAGTCCGGACACGAATCCTTCCGGTCAGGGCACCCATCTGTCGGGGTGGACTGCTGTGGCGTGTCACTTATGTGGTCACCAGGATTATCTACTGAGCAAGATTCCCCCTGGAATGTGTGCAAAAGGCCATTCCAGTGTCCAATCTCATGAATGGCAGTCCCACCTCGATTGTAGAGATCCAAGGAGCCACCGGGCATTGTTTTGGCCAAAACATTGCAGCCATCCTTGATATAGTGAGAAGCCGGGCTACTAGCATTGACACTCGGATCAGGCAGGGTGCAGAATCCCAGAACGCTCGATGCCAGGTCATTGTTGGTGACTGCACCCCTGTGTCCAAAAGCGCGTCCTGCTTGTCCAGGCGAGGCCTGGAGATCGGTTTGGAAGTAAACATTCAATGTTCGGTAGCTTCCTTTTCGAAGGGTCGTTTTCATTGCCGTATCATCCGCATTGCTTGCCCACTTATCATTGACATGACGAGTCACACCTTGCAATCGGTAGGAGATACCAGAATCTGCATAAGATTGTTGTAGAATAGAAAGCTGTAGGCAAAGTGAGTTAGCACTGAGATGCCAGTCGAAAAAGAAGCAACTGACTTGGGAATTGATCATGTCATCAGTGACCTGGGTGGACTCCGACTTGCTACTGATGATATGGAACCAGGTCTCGATCTCGATCGGAGCCGTCCTGGCCTGCGAACCAGCAGGATCGGCTTCATCCGATTGGAGGCGCCTTACTTCATGCAAGAAATCCGCATCGGGGTCTTCAGTAGCACAGGCGCCTCTTTTCTGGAGGGCAAAGGGGCTGCACCGAACCTGCAGGAAAAGGGTGACAAGGACGACAAGTTGGAAAAATGAGTGACGGACCATGGTGTTAGGAAGCCCTGGTTTTGAGTCCCCCTTCACACCTGTTTCAAACAAAAAAGGAGAGAAACAAAAGGAGTGGACGGAGAGTCAAAAAAGAACCATCAATCTCGAGATTGACCAGTATGGGGGGTATAATATAACCCATAACACCTGTCCGATTCCATAAGGAATGTTGCGTCATGCGGGAATGCATGTCTTGAGCAAGGGGTACGAGCATGTAAAGGATCGGAGAAGATAAAACGATTGGTATGTTAAAAATTGGAGGATGAGGTCATTGGAACACAGGTGTTATTTACAGGGCATATTGAAACAGAAAGGAAACGCCAAAAAAAGGAAAGGAAGAGATCTAAGGAGCATTATCCCGCCCCGTGGCGATGGCAGTGCTCGGTTGATTTGAATCCCAAGTAAGATAGGTATGATCGCCAAGTTTTCTAGTAAGGAGGTTAGTCGTTGGAAGTTTCTATTCACAAAGAAAAGGAGATCATACCTCGGACGCACCAAGTGCGCGACAGTAAACAAGGCCCCAAGAACAACGCAGATTCCACCAACAACCACATAGGCGATTCCCATGAAGGGATTCTTGCCTCCAAGCACTGTTCGAGTGGAGATCAAGATCGACTTGGTTCCGTCGTATTCGGTGACATTGAAACCTGAACAGTTTAGTAAAATGCAAACAAGAGGCAGTAATAACACATACGATCAATAATCTCGATGGAATATTTTGCAGCAGGCATGCCATGGGTATCGTTACGGCGGGAAAGCTTGCTGAACGATGGCAAACCAGCCGTTCTCATCCAAACCATGAAAGCTTCGTTTTCATGTAAATTGGGATCCTCTTTATAGACACCGTTCTCGCTGGCCCAGACCCAGTTTGGTGGTGGCAGTACTTCATCCATCTTGTACTTCGTATCTTTGATGAGTTCCTTGTCACTGTCCCACGCGATGCCTTTGGTGGTCATTTCGTAGTACTGTTTCTCGGATGCATTCGGATCCAGGATTTGGGGCATCCCAATCGTGTCATTGAAGAATGAGTTTGCAATCAGTCCACATGGATAGTATACCTTCTTAGCCGTGGTGTTAACTGCTAATGGGTCACATGCGCCACCCTTGATCGTATCGTAGGAAACGGCATCTCCTTTCAACTGATTCAAATCAAGCGACTGAACATATCGGCGGTGGTTTTGATAGAAGTTGGTGAGGCGGTAATACATGAAAACCGGTGCTGGAAGCTCGTTCGGAACCTCGAAAAGAAGAGTGCAAGTAACGGTGCCCGAGTCAGACTCATTGATGGACTTGCGCCAGGTGGGTGCCGATATGGCTTTGGAAGATTTGAAGGTCGCCGAATAATGAGGAACGGAAGCATAGCTGTCGGTCGGTGCCTGTCTGGAGCAGTCGGAGTAATCGATGGAAATTTCTTGGACCTAGAGCACATGACTCGTCAGGGTTGTTCTGTCAAGGACACAAAGATATGAAACGAGGCATACTAGAGAGCTGGCCCAGAGGAGAACACCACCAATCGGGGCAAAGATAACGCCAACGATGAAAAACAGAGGTAGAACGCTTTTAGGGGTTAAGATTGGTCTGGCAGGTTAGCACGGTGGTTCAGGGTGCAGATGTACAGGAATCTCAAACTCACTGCCACGCTTTCAATCTTTGCTGACGGAAAGCAGTATCTGGTATGAACAAGTTAGTTGTGGACAAAGGGTTGATGAGATCGCAGGACCTACTGGCTGGTCGGCGAGACTTTGGCTTCTTGTCGCCATCCTCCCTTGCACGCTCCTGTTCCTCGATGGACTCAGCACGAGTCACCTCCTGAGACATTGCTTTTGACCAAGATAATTTCAAAGAGGAAATTGGATGATCCAGATTGAAGTGAAGCGAAAGATGATACAAGGGATACGTCAAAAAAAGGTGGCGCCGGGCTGCCGGAGGATTACGATTGCGCCCCACCGCTTTATTTTGGAAACATCCATATATGTATCAATTTATATCCATCATATCAAATTGAACATATCAATTACAGATTATATATTAGTATATATATTATAATACGGATTATATTGTTATAGTGAATCATTTACATATTTAACTCAATTTCATATCAATTCATTGTGAGGTACGAAAATCATATCTGGTCAGGGTATCAAGCCTTATCCTATGTGCTATTGCCTTTCCGAAAAAGGAAAAGGAAAAGAAAAGAAGACGATTAAGCAGTAAAATTCAATCGCAATAGAGGAAAAGGAAAAAAAAAAAAACACCCGTGGCTAACCAAGCCTGCCATTCTAGACCAAAGCGAAACTGAAGTGAAGCACCCAAACGCCATAGCCAGCAACCAAAGTTGGAAAAAAAGGATCAAAGCCCATGGGGTCTGTATGCAAAACGAAAATAAAACCAATAAGGGGGGAATCTCAAAAGAAAAAGAATGTGTCATGATGAGTCGTAAAAAGCAAGATAGCAATTGAAAAGGAAGCCGAAAGGGCAAGAGGTAAGATGGGTCGATCTAGGGAACACCTAGACATTTGTCTTGATCAGGTGCGGATAGCTGAGAGCACTCAAATATGGATTAATAGTCGAGGGCTGTATTGCAGTGATAGACACTGAGGTAGAGGGGTCAGTTATTGGAAACAGTATCTTTGATGGCTCAGCCTGTGATGGGAGGCGACACACGGGCTGTGATAAACTGGGTGGCATCATTATCCACGGTACCATCAAACGCGTTAACCTGCAATATCATGCTAGGTATTGATGAAAATATTCAGCTTTAAACCAACCCACGCGTTCGTAAGCGGTCCAAAGTTTGCTAGCTTTATTGACATCGATCTTGCAAGCCTGCTGGGCATCCGTCTTGCGAAACTCTTTGCCAACAGCAAGAGCTCGAACTCGAGCTTCGAAGATTCGACGCTTGCTGCATAGATAGGTCGCACATGAAAGTCTTAGGGTGGAGGCGAGATTTAGCTCGGCGGGACTGAGAATATTTCTGTCTGGGTCATTGCTCAAATCCAACATCTGCCCCTTCCAATCGGCCTTCAATGCTTTGGCATTACTGCCAAGAGTTTCTGCCGGGGGCGAGTAGTCCTTCAGTGAGTGGTAATCGGTGTCATCGCGATTCGTACCCAAGGCACGCGGTTTGGTAAGTGGAGTTTTGGGGGGTTCAAAGTTGTCAAACACCTGTTGCTTGGGTGTGGATTTAGGGGTGCGTTTGACCCGGGTTCGCTGCACGCGAGGTTGAGTGCCTGATCTTTTCACCGGCGCAGGAGCAATCTTCTTCAACTTGGGTTCGTAATCTCCTGAGCGATAGCGGTTCATCATGGCCATTTGGCGCTCCAACGTCTCCCGTTCCTCTCGGGCCCAAGCAGCCGGATTGCGATTGTACTGGGTCGAAACAATAGGAACGCAGGAAAGCGCCAGGAGATATTCATCTCGTGTGGGTTTGTTCAACTTATTGCGAAAGATTGCCATATGAGAATTCATGTGCTCTTCCACAAGTGCCTCTGCAGATGGAGGGTGAACGGGGCCGAACAGCGGCTCATCCGTAGCAACGTCAGTAACGGAATCCTGGGGGGGAAAAGGACAGGGTCCCTGGGGGATCCCAAATCCCTTTCAATTTGGTCCGAGGCGTGGGAATTGGTCTTCTTGTTCCCCGTGTAGGGAGTCACGGGTGGCGATGGGAGGTCCATCTCTGACTGGGTCCGTTTTCGATCAGCTGAGATGGGTGGAAGCTGCATGTCACGAGTTGAAGAATCCCGAGGCTTTGCAAACGGTGAAAGCGAGACAGGAAAACTCTCGAGAGGCTTGGTCTCTGGGGGTGACATGAGGCTAGAAACGGATGGGAGACGGTGCATAGTGGTCGGCTGTTTGGCTGGCTGCCAGCCAGCAGACGAAGTCATTTCAGATTAAATACCGTTGAGCCAACGGTAATTGGCAATAAGAGGTTAAAGTAGTCAATGGTGTCCAGGGCTAGAGTTTCCGGAAAGAGAAGGGGGGAGGGGATGAATACACCAGGCAGAGTGGGAAGATGGATGGTGAAAGCTGATGAGTGAGTGTTTATGGAACTCAATGGAAGTTGAAATCACCAGGCGAAACAGGTGATTTGTCAGGTCTGCCTCTTTGTCTTGAGTGGCGATAAGCCAATATGACCTAAGTCTCGGCGTTAAGGCTCCAATGGCCGAATGAGTCAATTTGATGAAGAGGGTAATGGTCCATCGAGCGAGAATGGACCAAATGGGAAATGAAAAGGATAAAGTGAAAAGAAGAGAAGAAGAGAAGAGAAAAAGGAAGATTGAAGGGAATATTGAAAGTGAACTGTGAGTCAGTATGGGGCTGAGGGTGTGATGATAAACTGCGGGGTGGCGCTTAATGGAGATTCCGAGTTTCTCCAGGGCCTCATGAGACCGGTTAGTTGGGAGGACATCAGAGCGCAAAGGGGGGATCTGAGAGGGGGAAATGGTGTGTTTGGGCGTCATTTGGAAAGAACCAGCTGATCTCATCATTTTGGGTCCAAGGTTACTAGTACCTATGTAGTATATACTAGTATATACCTAGGTAATTAATACAAATAAAGGTATTTTTAGATTAGTACATATGTACATATATGTATCTGGTACATCATGTTGATATGTACATGTATGTAAATAGTTTAGTAGATATGCCCAATCTCTACTAGTACCCATAGTACCCAGATGTAAAGTTGTGGTAACTTTCAGACTTAATGTAACCTCTGAGCACTTTCCTCCTTTCCTACCTAAGTCTGCCACATGTGACAACATCCCATGCGGGCAATCACCTAATAGGATCAGCCGCAGGAAGAGGCAAGCCAATCATGTTATAGCATTGACCCCCTGTACCATGTGATCTATTGGTGTAGATCCTTATCTTTGATTTCTTGCTTTTTACTCTCTTGCTCTTACTTCTCTTGCTTTTGCTTTTCTGCTTCGCTTGACAAAATTTAGCTTCCTTTTTTTTTTGAAGGTTCTCAATTTTAATGGATATTCTAATCAAATATAAGTGATGAGGCTTCCAAGGTTACCTAGGTACGGTGACTTGGGTCTGACTCATCTGTATTCCTTCCAAGGTTGGAATTTTGAGTCATATTTGAATGGCTGCCTGCACTAGGCGCCTAAACTATTTCCATATAGGAGTGATGTCATCATATGCACCCACACAATCGCAGAGCCGCTCTTGTAATTTGCATCATCAGCCACACGTAGGCAGCCCTTCTGTGGGGAAACAAGGCGTCCATTCTCTCTTGGGGCCTCGAGTCACGAATCCCACTTGTTTGAATACAAGTGCTACTAGCTAGTAGAGGAGATCATAAAGTAATACAAGATATAGTATTGGAGAGTATGAATAACTATAAAAAATGCTGTATGGGTCTTTGATCGTAGGGGAGCCTGAATCTCTCTCCCCTACGATCATGTCATAATAATAAACACCGCCTTGAAACCTAAAAATTATCCCAGAAGTGAGGCTAAATTATCACTTATTGTTGAACGATGCGGACTCTGTGGTGAACTAATACTAGATCCTGACAGAGTGCAGATCAAAGGATAAAAGGAGTGTAATTGTTATGATACAGTCCACTCCTACTATTTGTCCGGTCACCGCGTCTACAATATACCTGCCAGATCGCGGAAATGTTCCAGCACCATGTCACGATCTAGAGTTGACAACTGTAGTTCTGCCGTTGCTGACCGCCTGTCGGGTTAAGACACTTGGAGGATGATGTGTATGGTTTGCACTAAGGCCCTATAAAGGACCTTGTGCCAACCAATCCTCTTATTCTTTTTTTTTTAACTCTCTATAATTAGTATTTTCGTTGAAATGTACTCTTTTATTTAAAGAACTGGCTGGTAATATAATACTAAGTATCACTTTTATTTCTAAATAAAGTAGCACGACCGCTAGGCTTCTCTAGAACCCAACTTGGGTTCAAACTTTGGACCTAAGACCTAACCTATATGGGTTTTGGGTCCGACTTCTATAACCCAACCTAACCTAAGACCTAATACTAGGTACCTATTAGGGCCCTAGGAAACCCCAATTTTGTATAAAATAGAGCTCTTAGCGTTTATAACCCTACGAAGTTATCGAAATAAAATACTATTTTTTACACTTATTCTAGTTTCCCTACTATATTCTTAATAACCTTACCTACTATAGTAGGAAATTTTAAGTAATCTCTATAAAATAGAAGTGAGAAAGGCTAGTTTTAAATTATTTACTTTGTAGAATTATAGATTTATTTCTTGTAGTACTATCTGCCTAAAATAGGAAAAATATTATTAGGAATAGACTGCGACATCGCCCGTCCATGGGCCCCTAGGAGGGGCCCAAGGCCCATCCACGGTGGGCCTTAGGCCTTTGACTCTTAGGGGGCCCGTCTAAAAGGCCTAAGGCCTATAGGCGCGCCTATATTAGGCATTACCTAAGTGCCTATATATATATAAAGTCACCTAAAATGGACGTATAACCTACTAATATAGCAGAATAAATTACTATTATTTATATACGTTTTACTAACTCTATAGAAAATGTCATTATTAGTATATAAAATATTTAAATCTAATCAAAATATTTTAATATTTAATAAATGGCTATACTAAATATACGAGTAAGATAAAAAAAACCCTTCTAATACTTATAATTAGTTAGTATTTTTATAAATCTATTAAATTATCCTATTATAGCTAGAATATATATTTAAGATATATAGTAACTCTACTAGTTAGTTTATATAAAATAGTAATTAGAGTAAGATTTTATATCTCGCGATTAATACGGAATCTATAATTATAATTTAAATTTCTATTAATATTAGTCGTATTTTATAAACTTATATCGCCTAAATTACTATATTATATTTAGATAATTACCCTTTACTATAGTCGTAAGTTCCTTTAGGTAGGTGAATAAGATCACACTCTCCCTATATTTCTATCGATCGTTATTAACTATATTATACCCTAGTGCCTATATCGCTAGGCCTTTATCGATTCCTATGAGCTCTTAACTAGACGTCTCCTACGCCGAAAACCCCTTCGATCCTAACCTTAATCTTAATCTTTTTAATAGCTAATAGATAGCTATATTAGTAGTAGAGTCTAACTTTATCGACCTCGCTATCGAACACTCCTCCCTCTAACGTATCGGCCCTAATTAGAGGAAGTATTTCGTTCTATTTAATATAATAAACGACGTGTCGAAGGCGAAATTTATTAAATAGTGGCGTATAACCGTACGTAGTAGCGAACTAGAAATATAACGTAAGATACGATAGGATATAAAATATATCTTAGATATCTAGGAAAGCTTCTAGTAAGTGGTATACTATACTATAGGCGAACCTCTAATTATATACCGCTCTTACAGAGTATCACTTCCGTATCTATATTTAAAATAGAGCGGTACTAATATAATAAAGCGCTATTTAAGTATAGGTAAATACTAGAAGGCTAGCCGAAACCTAGCGATATGTTACGCACTGCTAACTAGTCACAGTTAGGTTAGAAGGATTCGGTTATACTTGCCTTATGCTTCTTAGGTTTCTAACGTCAACGATCTGTTCTCTCAACCGTACTGTTGCCTAACAGGCCTTACTATAGGATGGGTCCTATTAAGGTATTAAGGAACGATACTAGGTAGAGCGCCGAGGAGATCTATACTAAAGTATTAGTCTACTCGTAGGTATTATCAAGTTATAATCAAGTAAAGAGTCACTAAAGTTTCTAAAGGTATATATAAGTAATAATATAGGATTAAAGACGAAGAACTAAACTAGATATATAAATAAGTGTCCTTATACATAGGGGTCAAAAAGTATTTACCCACCAGCCCACTTTGAAATCACCCCAACAACCACCCACCTTTTTTTTCTTCTTCCTGCACCACCCCTATGCCTCCCCCCGGCATAGAAAATAGCTCATTACGTAGAGCGAAAGGTGAGCTTTCAGCTGAGCAGCGCTTAGCTATTCTCTACGCCTATCAAGGTGGTGTCACGCAGTCAAAGCTAGCTATTGAATTTAGGTGCAGTCGCAAAACGATATTCAATACAATTCAGCGCGTTAAAGAGTATAACACTCTCGAATCCCTCCCTCGAAGCGGTCGTCCAAAGGTGTTTAGTGATCGAACTCGCCATTATATTTATCTCCAAGCTCGCCGGCATCCCTTTTATACCTATAAATAGCTAAGTGCACTCACACCTGGTAATCCCTCCCGGACGTTAATCATCTAAGTTTTAAAGGACTTCCGCCTTTTTAAATACCGATCGAAGCAGAAAATCCTAATTGGAAGGGTTTTAGCTCGGAAGAGATATAACTTTGCACGGCGTTAGCGTCAAAATTAGTCGGGAAATAGAGTTTAAAGTTGGATCTTCTTAGATGAGTGTTCCGTTTAACGAACCTCGAACTATAGACCCTAATGGTGCTGGCGTTTTTAGTCCGAGGCTCACCGAAAGGAACTAGTGAATGTTAAGGCATACCCGGTCCTTGCCAAGTAACCCTACCCCCTTCGGGTGTTGGGTTACCACACCGTAATGTAAACTCTTGCTCAATGTAAATTTTACACCACCCACCATTTTTACTACCATTTTACATCCTACCAACATGCCGGAAAAAAACCCAGATTTGGAGAATACCCTTGCAAATGCTCTCTCTGCATGGCATGCTCGAAAAAAACCAAAAATAGCCCCATTGGCGCGAGAATTCGGCGTTCCTTACAATCTGTTGTATAACCGGGTTCACGGTCGGGGATCTCGTTCGACGCGCCGTCCTACCAATTCGACATTAAATCCGGATCAAGAGCAAGCCCTAATTAGCTGGATCACTATATTAGATGATGCTTGCTCTCCACCAACTGCTAGAATGGTAGAAGGGTGCGCTAATTCAATGAT